TTAGCACAAGGTATAGGGAAGGGCGCAGAGCTCCATGCCCTCTCCAGGCACACCATTCTCCCCCAGGCTCCGTGTGTTCACCAACTGGAAGCTCTCTGAACCCTATCTTTTGGGGGGTTTATGGAGACGTCATTACATAGGCATGATTGATGAACTCATTGGCCATATGCGACTGGTTCAACCTCCAGCCCTTCTCTTCCCCAGAGGTCAGAGGGTGGGACTGAAAGTTACAACCCTCTAATTACATGGTTGGTTCTCTAGGCAAAAACCAAATATGTATTTTATTATAAATCATATTATGTTATTGGAAGGGTGCACCTGAATCCCATCCTCTCTGCAAATAGTGTAGGAACAACGTTCTGGGCCTCGCCTTCCGTCTGAGGTGACGACCTTCCCTAGCGAGGGCAGGAATACAAAGATAGCATCTTTTCTGCAGTAGCATCCAGAGGGAAAACCTCGTCAAAAGCACATTTATCTTTTAGTTGAAAAGTGCAAGCCAACAGTGGAGTGTCAGACTCAGAAAAGAGAGGAAGGGAGAAATGGAGGCCGAGAGTGAGAAGGGGACACGAGGGCCAGTCTCTTACAAGGGGACATGAGGGCCCTTACAAGGGTTCTGCACATTCGGCCTTAAACGCCCAGCCCTGTGCGTAAGGGCTGAGAGCCCCATTCAGAGTCCATGGGGCAGCAGAGGGACAGGAACGGGGTGGGCTCTGGCCACAGGCAGACTGAGCAACACCTGAGGGGAGACTGGTGAAATGAGGCCCAGACAGAACAGGGAGGAAAATGAAAAGGAGAGGAACTGACATTTATTGAGCACCCACTATGAGGAATGAGGCTGAGCAGCAAAAGTGAAAATACATAAAATGACAGGTTGGGGAGAGATCCCTGCCTCAGATGAGAGTCTAACACCTCCCTCGTCTTCATCAGCCTCAGCAAACAATTACCAAGGAGAGCCATGTGCCCAGCCCGGGGCTGGAATTACAGGAAGTTCTTGCTATCAGGGGGCTCACAGTCTATTTGGGGAGACAAGATCTAAAGAAATGACAAGTAAGCCACAGTGTCATATGCTCTGTAGAGTGAATGGATGCCAACCACTAAGTGTGTCAGAGACTGAGGAAAGATCTCAATGTCCTGGGATGGTTGAGGTCACCAGGGAGAAATGTGGCCTTAAGCCTGAACTTGAATGCTGGATGGCACTTGGGCAGACAGGAGGAACAAATTGGTATGGACAAGGCACCGCAAAAAGAATACAGGTGGTGTGTTCAAGAGACCGCGACCAGCAGTTTATTCTTTTTTCTGTAACCTTGTACTTTGGGGTCCTTTCACATATATCATCTCAGGAAGTGACTCTATTGTCCTTCACAAGCCCAGCAAAGCTCTGGGACAGATGGCCGTCAGTGAAATTAGATGAACTTCTACTATGTGTAAATCATTGTTAAGTACTGCAGGATATGTGGCAAAGTATAAAATATAGTTCCTGCCCTCAAGGACAGAGAGGACTTTCCTTTCGTCAAATGGCCAGTGAAGACGATTCTGGATGACTGCAGCGGTGAAGTCCTATGTCTGATAAAAGGGAGTAAGTCCAAGGAAAACTGGATTTGCCATCTGTCAAGATGCTCCATTTGAGAGTGATCCAAAAGGTATCGGTGATTCTGCAGTTCTCTTCTCAGAATTGGTTACTAGGCTCAGTCAGTCTTGTGTCCTTCACATTCTTCCCAGCATATTCCTCCACAAGCACAGGGGCTTGTCTGCAGCCAAACACCAGTTCAGAATCAGAAGCCAAAGTAATTGCAGATGTACCTATAACTCAACCATGGCTGGGCCACTGAATAACACTCTGTAATCAATTCTGGAAAGGAAGAGGCACCAGGACAGGAGCAAAAGCAGCAAAATAAGCAACGCATGTGGGTAATTTCTCAATTGGCCAACCTTGGGAAGGAGAAGTCTGGAAATCTTATTTGGCCTGAGAGAAATAAAGCAATTTCATCCCGACCCTTAAAGCGTCAGTTAAGGCTGAGGAGGGAAAGCAGGAGCATCACCTGAGGGAAACTGAAATACCAGCTTATCTTGGGCATCCTCACAGTCCAGTGATGTGGTTACTGCCAGGATGGAGCAGTCTATGGACAAGTTCATGAACTGTCCAAGTTGCATGGGCAGAGCCACTACTTATAAGACAGAAAGGCAGATGCTTGTTGGTCACTTCACAAAAAGTGAGTCACAGGGATATTAAGCAGAGAACTGGCTACTTAGGTCAGCCGGAGGGCATAAGATTCTGGGTGGTTGTATCCTTGTCGTGTATTTGACCTCCTGCTTCCTCACATGACTGAAGGCCAAATACATGATGAGCAGGGGATCTCTAGAGCCTTGAGGTTCTGGGCTCTGAATTTTTAGTTGGAAAACCTCTTTTTAAGGCAACACATACCAAAGGACATTTGGAAGTATTTCAAAAAATGAATTTATATGCCCTAACTCTGTAACGGGAAGCTGCAGATCTCATTTCAAGACAGTTGAAGCATAATCCTTGCTGCAGGCTAACTCTAGAGCAGCGGTCTCCAATCTTTTTGGCACCAGGGACCAATGCTCCTATGAGAATCTAATGCCTGATGATCTGAGGTGGAGCTGAGGCGGTGAAGCTAGCACTGGGGAGCGGCAGCAAATACAGAGATGAAGCTTCGCTCGCAGACCAGTTCCCGACAGGCCACAAACCGGTACCATCTGTGGCCTGGGAGTTGGGAACCCCTGTTCTAGAGGAAGGGACTCTACATCCCAGATCAGAGAGTTCTTCAAAACTACCAAGTAAATACCATATGATTTCACTTATATGTGGTATCTAAGGAACAAAAAGAACAAACTAATCAAAAACACTCACAAATATAGTGGACAATTTGGTGATGGACAGAGGGGATGGGGGTTGGGGTGAGGCTAGGAGAATGGGGTGAAGGGTCAAAGTACAAATTAGTAGTTGATAGATGGTCATGGGGATGGGGAGCACGGCAGAGGGAATGCAGTTAGCAGTAATATGATGGCTAGGTGGAGGGTCAGGGAAGGGAGGGAGCAATTGGAGGAATGGTTTTATGAACTATATAGATGTCTGACCAATGTACTGTATACTTGGAAATAATTTAAATAAATTAAAAAAAAAAACAACAAACTACCAAGTAGCCAAAAAATCAAAACAAAACAAACAAAAAAGCAAAGGAACAGCCAGTATACAACCTAAAGATTCTTTACTTAAAGGAAGTATCTCTGAGCCAGGCTATTTTGTAACCAAATAGGAAAATACTAATATAACTTGATAGTTTTGACTAATGGCTGTCGGTCTTGGATGTTAATAAAATTATCTGTTACTATTGTTTTTTAACAAGCGGTCTGTGCCTCTACCTTCATATTTCAGGAAATTCCTGAAATAACAGGCTCTAAAGTGAAGAAGTGAACACAGCCCTCACTGCATCAGTGTTCCCAAGGCAAGGGGAGATAGAGCTGCACAGATAACGCGAGGTAAAATGTGCCAGAGGAGGACACGTAACAAGGAATCTGGTTGCTGAGAAAGTGGATGATTTATCCCAGTACTTTTTTTTTAAAGAAAACTGTGCAATAACTTTTCGAGCAGTTGAATGATGGTTCAAGCATACTAAGTTGCTAGAGCTGACAAAGAAATATCTGGACATAAGAAAATCTGGCAAAGCTATCTAAATGAACACCAATTTCTATCTATCCTAAATGTTAAGGTACATTTTTGAATGCTAATTTATAGATATGTATATATGAGGGGGAAAAGTGCATGGTGAGCAGACAGAGCTGGCCATGGGAAAACAGAGCAGCTGACAGGCAGGTTGTGGGTGCCCTGTGCATAACTCCCGTGCATACTCCCCTCCCAGTGTCCAGACCATCCTGGGGAAGATGTGCTGCCAAGTATTACAAGAACATTTCAAACTCCAAGTCACACTGTCTCAAGGTAACTCTGGAGATAAAGCCCCTGTCATTAAGTTCTCTCCAAAAGAAGATTTTAATATTTTCATGGCCTCTGCTTTATCCACCTTTAAACCAATTAAGGGCATTTTTGAGCATTCACTGGTTTCCCAAGATACTGCAATAAAATAGCCATATCCCTATGTCAGCAACAGTTCTGAAGAAAGCATCATTTATTATAGTACCAGACTAAACCAAAGAATCAAGAACTCTGGGCTAAATTTAACTCTTTCTTTGGCCTACTGAGTACTGTTTCTTCCTTTGACCCTTTATTTTTTTCATTGAGAAAAAATATTTACTTGATACCTACTATGTGCCTGGCTCAATTCTAGGTGCTGTGTCTACAGGACCGAACGAGAGATAAAGTTCCTCTCACAATACATTCAAACTAGGGGAAATAAACAATTTCAGATGGAGATGAGTGCTAGAAAAAAATAATAAATAGGGTTATAGAATTCAGTGATGAGAGCAGGCTAGAATGGAGGGGAAGTAAAGGCCTATTTTAGTCAGGGAAGAGCTCCAGGAGGTCCCTGAGGTGACAGCTCAATGGAGACCTGAGTGATAAGCAAAAGATCTGAGGGAAAAGCGATCCAGGCCTTATTCTATTGATGAGGAAACTAAGGCCCAGAGAGTCTGTGTCTGGTTCAAGGTCATCTATTAGGTAAAGGCAGGTCAGGCTAGAGCCTAGGCCTTGAGCACACCGCTCTCTCCGCCACTCTCTACCTCTCTACTTCTCCAGGGGAAGGCACTCGGTTTGAGAAAATGCCAGCTTATCACGAGCCAGGCTAGTGTCTATGGGCCACTGAAAACTGATTTCTTGTCAACTACCAACAATAACCCACTTGTTTGGCAACTAATTATTAAATGTTACTCTCTGCCAGGCCTCACTATCCTCAATTACTTTCAAGTTTCTCCCAGATTAGGTTGGGAATCATTTTTCTTGCTCTCTCTTAAGCAATTTCTGCAGTATTCAGGACTGTAACTGAGTTAGGGATGTAAAAACTGTTCATAAATAATAAAAGATTCACATATATTAGAAATGAGATAGTTTGTTATTCAAAAAGCCACAAAATATCTTACTTATACAAGACACAACAAAATATACATCTTAAAAATTCATCACTCAAGAATGCATTTTACACTTGTTTTGAGAAACAAAGAATTAAAAATGGGCAATAGTTACAGACACAACTTCACACAATAATCCGGACGATGCAAGAAGCATCACGATGTTTTTCTGGTATTTCTCTTTGTGGTTAACTAACCACATGCGAGGGAGGGATCAAAGTTCAGATGTGCACAGCCCAGGGAGCCCCTCCAACAAAGTGGCAGTGCACTCAGGGGGTGTCTCCTCTTCGGTAAATGACATTGGGGGGCTAGGGTGGGGAGGAGCCTGGGAGCTTTACCAAGAAGTGCATAATCCAGCTTCTTATCCAGTCTGCTGGCATCATCAACTGTCAAACCATTTGCTCCTCTTTGCAAGAGGTGCTCCTTTAGAAGTTCCCAATAATTTCTGCTTATACTGTTCAACCAGCTGGTTGAAGCGAATTTCTGTCTTATTTCCCTTAGCTTTTTTCTTAGGTACCTACAAATGAAAGGTAAGGAGACATCAGACAGTTAATTTCAAGCATTAAATATCACCTTACCTTAACGCCTTGCAAAAGAGAAAATAAGTAGGTATAGAGAACTTGTCCACCACAAGAGACTTCCAGAGAATGGCTCTTAGAGAGGAAAAACCCAGAATCACCCGTTGGTAAGAAATCAGGCCAGGAATGCATAAGAGGAAGCCCCACTAAAACACTGCTTAGGTGTTTCAGAGGCCACTCCCAAATGCTCACTTGAATCTCCCTGCAGATGTGTCAGCCAGAGTCTGAATGTTCTCATTTGCCCTTTCCCTCACCAAGAACACTGCTTACAGGACTTCAGAGACAGAGCTTTGTAAGATAGTATGGTATAGACTGGAGACTTCCCAGACACACAGATTTCTTGAGCACGATGGAAAGCTGCTAGTGAAGGGGAAAAGAAAGCCTGCCCTCAAATGTTCAAGAACTCAGGATTACTGTTTTCTCCTGAAAAGAACAAGGATCCTTAGAAAAATGGCTAATGCCAGGACCCGGGCAGAAACATATGAGCTAGGACATCTGGTTGAACTAAAAAGCAAAGACACTAACAAGGACAGGGTCATGTTAGGAGGACTCGAGAGTCGAACTGAAGGGGCTTCTGCTGGCCTAAGATGGTACAAAAACAATGACTAAATTTGATGGAAATGCATCGAGTATATAAAAACTCAGAAATTCATAATATTATAAAATCTTACTGGTCACCATAGGAAGTGGACAGGGTACCTACTCATTATTCTGGAAACAAATAAAGAAAAAAAAGACCAAGCATTTATTTTGCCTTTCCTATATAAATATTTCACTGTAACTAAATAGTGGGAAAAAATTCTTTTTTCTAGAATTGTACTAAAAGAGTGCAAAAAGATTGATAAAATTAGAAAAATCACCACTCTGCAACCCATATTAAAATAATGGATCTAGATAGCAAACATCAATGGGTGTTAAACCATTAGGTGAGAAGTTGATGGGAGATTTTACGAATGGTGGGATAAGGCAGACAATCCCTAAACCTACTGATGAACCTGAGCATCACCAAATATGGGACAACCAGACATTATGTGCCTTACGATGTGACGCAACAGAAAGCACATGGCATTGCTTATGAAATAATTTGCCAAAATACTGAACTTGAATCTAATCAAGCCTCTAGATCTAGCTACAGTGTACCGGCAAGTTAAATGATACCGTGAGGAGGCAAGCAGCTAAAGTCGAAATGTAATACATTCTAAAAGGCAAATGACCTGGTTTCTCCAACATATTAACAGGGGCTGATGAAAAAGACTCCATAATATAGGGGGAAAAAAGGACCTGAGATATAAAAACCAAAAGTAACATGAACTTTGTTTGGATCCTGTTTCATACTAACTATAAAAAAAAATTTTGAGGCAATTGGGACATTTTAATATGGGCTATGTATTAGACAATATTAAGGGCTTATTAATTTCATTAGGTATGATAATGGCTGTGTGTGTGTGTGTGTGTGTGTGTAAGGCCTGATCATTTGCGGTATTTTTCTGAGCAATATACCTCATTTCCACATGGGGCATATTTACATATGAAATGGAGTTTGCATTATATCCTGGGGGAGGGGAGCGAGTATGGGGATAGGTAAAAAAAAGATCATTGTTGAAGCACATTAACCAATATTTGGGGCTTCATTTTCCCATTCTCCCCACTTTTACTACTGTGTACCTCGACATCCTCTAAAAAGCTGCAGTCCTGTATGTAATCCTGTATGTAGCTGCAATCTAGAAGCCCTTTCTTTGTGCTCAACTAATCAAGGCACAAAAGCAACTGCTAGCCCAGCAGAGCCTGTCATACCAAAGCCTCGTGCCCTACAGACTCACCTGTTTGGAAGGTAATTTCTGCTTCTCTTGCTTCCTCTGGTTTATCTGGGGCTTTGGCTTTTTGGGAGGGAGAGACTTCACTTTGCCTTTGTCCCGCAACCTGAAACAATATGGTCAAGTGTCACCCTGAGTTCTTCCTCTAATTGGCATCCCTGAGGTTCTCTCAGCCAGGAAGATAAAATGCTTTTTCTTACACTGGCATTTTCTAAGCCCGTGATAAGTTATTCTAAAAAGGGATACTGCAACAGAATGTCTTAAGGCTCAACATTTTTATGTGTGTTTTCTGTTCTGGCTTAAAAACCTCAAGAGAATCTCAAAAGCTTTCATTTAACAAATATTTTTTTTAAAGGTCGACCTTTGTTCATAGCGTTCATAGCTGCCCTGCAAAAAACTGCAGGGGAATCCCAAGGAGGCCGGTCTCAACTGACAGACAACCATCTGGACAGGAGGAAGCTCCTCAGAAGAGGACAAGAGCACAAAAGCCTGTCCTGGAAGGCTCCACCGAGGCCCCCTGTGTCCTGTTCCGGCCTCTATGTGGTTTAGGAATGACATCTCTGCTTGTGCTTTAACCCTCAAAATGTGGGACCTGCACAGCACTAAGCATCCCTTTCATCCAAACAAAAGCCACAAATATGAAAAGAGCTAAGCAAAGCAAACCCACTGTTCTGTGCCGCCATCCTGCATCTCACCTAATTTTGGGTCCTCGGTGTGAGGGCAGCGCCAGGACCTTTCTTCTCTTCTTTCCATCAGGCAGCTCCACCTGTTCCACTTCGGCCTTGGTCTGGAATCCTGTCCATGAGATAGAGCCCGCCTTCCGCTTCTGCTCTGGGGAGGCCTTGCTTTGCTCCTGTGTGTGGTCCTGAGCCGCTTTCCGTTGTCGGGCTTTTCCAGACTCCGGTCGCTCTTGCTGGGGCTCACCAGTTGTGGACTTGGATATCACCTTTTGCTGCATAAAACAAGAGACTGCTATCTGGTTTCTGGATAAGCTTTATGTGCTGGAAACATTCAGCAGAAAAGCAGCTTTATGTAAGCTTAGTGAAAAAAGGGGAATTCTTCCCCCCAAGTTAAAGACTACAGAAAAGTGAATACACATAGTTCACAGGCCCTGGCATAGTAACAGATGGTTACTGAGTGGGGAGCACAAAATAATCATTTCCCTTTCCATATGCATAAAACAGGGGGAAAGTACATGCATGCCCAAGAAAGCCAGTAGGAGAAAATAAAAAAGACTAGTAGCATGGGACAATCACTAAAGGCATAACAAAAGTGGAATGAGAACACCAGAAGGAGAAAGAAAGGAACAGAAAAAATATATGAAGTAATCAGGCCTGAGCATTTTCCAAAATTAATGACAGGCACTAAACTATAGGTCCAGGAGCTCAACAAATAACAAACAAGATAAATACCAAAATAATCTACACCTAGGCATATCATATCAAGAGAAATTCTTGAAAGAAGTCAGAGGATTGGGGCGGGGAATCCCTTACCTACAGAGAAACAAAGATAAGATTACATTGAATTTATCTTCAGAAACCATGTAAACAAGAAAATAATAGAGTGAAATATTTAAAGTTTGGGGAGGAGGGAATCATCAACCTAGAATTCTGTATCCAGTGCAATTATCCTTCAAAACGAAATAAATAAATAAAGATTTTCTAAGATAAACAAACACTAAAGACATCTGTTACAAGTAGACATGGCTTGCAAGAAATACTAACTCAATTTTTTCAGAGAAAGAAATGACCTAGGTCAGACACTCAAATCTACATAAAGAAAGGAAAAGCATTCATCAGAGAAGGAATAAATAGTGAAGACAAGAAAAAGATCTTGTGAGAAAGAAGGCATAAAAGATGGTACAGATTTATGTTGCACTGCAGTGAAAAAAAAGATTCATGTGAAATTGTTAATAAGTGTTATTCTGTCTTTTTTACCTTAAAAATCTTGATAGGTACATTGATACACAAAGATCTATTATATGCCTGTTATGTGTCTCTGCTTCTAAGTGGAATACGGTCTGCCTTTGAGGGCTCACAGCTTAGTGGAGATAAGAGACACATATAAAAACAAAGTAAAAAACTAAAGGAAAGTTTAAGAAAGTTAATGAAGGTACAAGTAATGAGGTCTTATCTCTTTTGAAAGGGGTGGGAAAATGCTACTTGAGGAGTACATTTGATCTGAATATGGAAACGGACTCAGGGGAAAGAGGCACTTTTACAGAGAGAGAGCAGTATGGACGTTAAGTGTGGGTAAAAAAAGCCATCTGATTTTATTTGTAGCTTCAGAATTACCTCCTGAAGCAATGGTTTAAGGCAGTAAATAATTCTATACCTAGGACAACAAAGTTCCCTTGAACGATCACCCGATCCCAGGTTTTCCAACCCAGGGCCACTGTATGAACCACTGAATCTGCTCTATTGGTCATGTTCATGATATCCACCACAAAGACTGCCAATGTTTGGTATACATGCCAATTAGGGTATAATAGGGATGAGAGTTATAAGAGTTATGGTATCAAGAATAATCTGGTTCTGTATGCCCTGGGGGAAGACAAGGAAGAGAGTGAGTACTGACTGTGTGCTGACCGTGGCATATGTGAGACAATTTACATTTAATCCTCATGGACTATGTGAGGCAGGTACTGTTAATCCCATTTTACAAACTACAAACTGAAGCTGAGAAAGGTAAAAACTTGCCAAGAAACTCAGAAAGCAGCAGTTTGATTCTGAACACAAGTATTCCTGTTTCCAAAGCCCTCTTCTTTCCTCTATAGCACACTAGATTAAAAACAGTACTAAATCTATCAGGCGTCACACTGCTGGAGCCACCTAAAAAGAAAAAAGAATTATGGAAGAAATAGCTGAAATCTAAAGGTAATTCAGAACTGTAATCTTGGCCATTCGTTTTAATCATGTATCACCACCGAGCACTGGACAAGAACTGCTGATGGGCAACAATACCAGTCTGATTCTCCTCTCTCCTTTCTTTCCCTTCTGTGGCACTATCACAAGACAGGCCAGCAAAGGAGAGGGTGGCCTGGAGAGTTCTGGGGAACCGAGAATAAAGGGTAACAAAGAGCCTATTGAGGTAGAGACCTACTTCAAGGAGGCAAAACCACAAACTGAACGAGTTTAAATATGGCCTTTAAAAATTGTTTTAACTGAACCGTGCACTTAAAAATAGTAAGTTTTATGTGTTTTGAACCACAATTAATAAAAAAACACAGAAAAAAAAGTTTCAGTTCTGTACCTGGCTGCGCTGGATCCTCTGTTCCTTTATTTTAAGTTTCCTTCGATCTTCCAAAGAGAACTCCACTATTGGTCTCTATGTCAGGAGAGACAACGTCCTTTATTAGATTTCTTCATCTCTGAGTGCAATAGACTGAGCTGTCCCCCACCATTGCCTTCTTTTTTGCAAGTCAGAGGCGGCTGCTCACTTAAAGGTAAAGGGCCAGTTCTGCAAGTAGTCTTTCTAATTTAGAGTTCCTTTCAATCATTTTATCACCTGAATAACTGTTCATTGCCTCCATTGACTTGGCTATTCTTTCTCATCACTCAAATGTCACAGGGCACTGGACGTGAAGAAGAGGAATGGTTTCTACGAATGGCCCTCAGGGGAACAGCTCTCCCCACAGAATGAGGCTCACCTTCTGAGGCCCAAAGATGTCTGGATTGTTGTTGATGTGGCGCAGGGCTCTCAGGGCATGCTCATGCTCCTGGAACTCTGCAAATGCGTAGCCAAGGGACTGACCCTTAATTTTCCCGTGAACTCCTCTGAGGTCTCGCATCACCCTACACTATGAATAGAACACACAAAAAAATCAGTAATTACAGGATAAGGAGCCTTAACAGATTCAATAAGAAATCAGATTATTGGGACAGACTATTCATCTATATCACGAGAGTTGTACTAGAATAACGCTTAAGAATGTCTGTCTTATTAGAATATACCTGAGAGCACAAAACAAATTAATTTTCTTGCTTTCTAAGAGTTTACAGACATCAACACAGATCTAGGAATAAGCATGCATATAAACTTCCCAAAGAAAAATTATAATAGCTAATTGCTGACAATACATAAAAGTTGAGAGGTCCATAGTACTTTAGGCTGTATATTAGATTATCACTGAGGATGAAGTGCTGTCCATGGATTGCTTACCAAAAAAAAAAAAAAAAAACCACTCAGAAAGGAAATCACTGAAGAACAGAAGGAAGAAGGCCTGATGGCTTTAGATAAGACATTTCAGGCATGGGGAGGAGCCTGCTCAACATGCAGTCTCAGATATACAAGAAGAAGCTTCAGTTCTTTGCCTGGAGCTCAGATCCTCTCTGATGTGATTTTTCCCTAAATGTAACAGAGATTTAATAAGCATCCTAAGGCACCAAGGATGAGAATCTGGGGAAAACTATAATCGTTCAAATGCCATTACTCCTAGAAGCTGTAATTCTTATCTAACAGAGAGATCTAGGTATTAGGGATAGTGGATACTGCATTTGGTATACATCCAGCATCTACTCTGTGCCTAGAACTGTGCCATGTACTATAGGGAAATCAAGAAAAGCATAAAACGAGGTTCCTATCCTCAAGAAGCCTGTTGAGACACTAACATATATGAAAGAATTAAAAAATTCAATGTAATGCAAATATTGCAAAACACATAAATTTCTCTAAATGATGACAGGTTTTAAATGTGCAGACATTTATTAAGTATTGTGGATGTTGATATGAGAAATTACACAACTGACCCCTATACCAGTAACACTTTGAATAGTTTTACCAAGAGTAGTGTCAGAAATGTGTTGATATGTTCACATTCTCTCATGTAATTCCCCAAATACCAATACCACACATTTTGGTGAGGCTTTCAGGGATTAGGAAAAGTTTACGATGATGAAAACAGAGCAAAGAAGATTCATAATACTGACTGTTATTTTTTCAGTCAATACTGAGCAAGAGATTACTATGTGCCATGTACTATGTCAAGTACTGGGAACCTCCAAAGAACTCAGTCTGGTCAGAGAAATGACCATTATAGGACAGTGTGCTTACTTAGTAAGTGCTAAGTAATGCAAAGGGTGCCGTGTGGGCACAGGAGAGGTTTCTGTTCTCATACAGTGTCTAACCAAGTCTTGGTGTGAATCTAGTTTGTCTAATAAAGTTGCTGAAGACCCATGTGGCTCCCTGTGCTCACCACATGGCAGTGAGGACCCTCATCATAGGCTAAGAGGCTAGATGGTAGTAAAATGCTCTCCGAAAGGGCAAAACACACAGATTATTGTCTCTGCAAGAAAATTAATATTACAGCACCTGGTATAATGCTGAGCACACAGCAGGCACTCGATAAATGCTTGCTAAAGTAATTCATAAGGCAGAGACTTCCTCACGTTCTTCTGCAATTTTGTCAGACATGAAAGGCAGTTCTTAGAAGAGGGGGAAAAAAAACATGAAAACTGCCAAACTTAGCCTTGTCTTCTGATATGTCCAAAAGAAAATTTGTCAGTCTGCTGGCGCCACAGCCCGAAAGTAATGCTCGATCTGACCTGTGATGAGTACCGAAGTTCTGAGAGGGCAGGGCCAACTCTCACCTCTTTGATGCGCACCCCCTTTTCCCCTCTACTGGCATTCAGCAGCAGCTTTCTGAGCTGTGTGTCATCCACAGCCTTGGGGAGATTGTGCAGGCATAGCCTGGTCCGAGAGACAAAGATATTCTGGTCCTTCAGTTTCTGATGCTTCAGTAACTCAAACTGAAAGAACAACAAACTGTTAACAATACTACTCACCTTTAAAAATGCAGGCTCATAGTTTTCCAACAGGAAAGAAACAGGAGCCCATCCAATAACCACAACATAGAAAAAAGGAAGGAAACCACCTACCCTGCAGCCTTCCAATGCTAAAGGTTCAAGGAGGCAAGATGGTGGGTAAGTAGTACAGTCATGGATAAAGTCAGACTGAATTAGAAATCCATCCCTAACTGCAGAAGTTATATGAAATTTTTTAAGCCTTAATTTTTTACCTACAAAGTGGAACTGGAGATCAAAATATAATACCAATCTCTCAGCAGTGATGCAAGGCTGAAATGAGGAAATATGCATAAAATCTTGATCTCGAACCTTGATCCAGAGTAAATGATAAATAATACTGTAATCAACATCTATGCCCAGTCTTGCTCTATCCACCAACTCAAACTAATTATCTCATCGTTCCAAAAGGAAAAGGAATTTATTTAAATACTTATGAGAATGTTGTCTTGTCTCTACTCTGCCACCTTGAGGCAAAGGAATGCCCATGAGCACAGAAAAGAATTCTCTTCTAGAGAATCAGCCTGTACTAGGCTGCACGAAACGCTGGTCCCAGGGCAGCCTTGTCTCCAAAATGAAAAGATGACATTCTTCTCCTGACTTGTGTTTAGAATTAGGTTAGTAGAAAAACATTTTAAATTAAATGTTTTCTTTCATCAAGTCTTCTCTTTCCTGCTGCTCGTTTGACAAAGGTACTAACAAATCACAAAATAAACAGATACTCTGGAAATGAAGAGTAAAGGAATATTTGAAGAGGCTATCATGCCTAAGTTCAATAGTCTAATTTTTCTCCCCAGAAAAGCTGTACTTGCTGTGAATTATAACACATAATATAGTGAGCTTTTGCTAGAAAAATTCATTCTGAAAGAAACTTAAATGTGGCACTATTTGCACTATGATCAAAAAAGGGAATAGATGCCACCCAAATACCATGATTTCCTGATGCTCACTATTGAAAAAAGGTAGACAATGCTCGTCTAGATAGAAACTGTGTACAAGAAAAGAGACACTGCCTCTTACTGTCCTTATATTCTCATTCCCGTCCATCATCTTCTGCACTTTCAGTTTCCATAGCTAATTCTGTTAATGGTTACGGATCTTTACCACCCTGGGCTGGCTTAGCTTTTTGAAAGTAAGCTATATGGGCAAAAGTGGAACTAACATTACCGAGCAGCAAAGGAATTTAACGGGATCAGTTAGCAGTGGAAACTCCCATAACACAGAGTCTTTCCTAAAATGATTTTATAATCTGGAGGTATCACCCTCCTCTACAAAATGAACATCTTGACTATCCCTTCCAAGACCAATATCTCCCTTCTCCCCTAACCCCAGCCCACTCTGAACTTCCTTTCTTCTTATTCTGCATTTATACTGACACATAATTATACATAGCGCTACCTTGCAAGTGTCTACTGCATGATCTCCAGGCACACTATTCAGCACACATTTACTGCTGAGCATTAGGAAAATAAAGAATAAGACCCAGTTCTTATAATGGCTTATAATGCAGATATAATATGATATATAATGTTAGATTATTTACTGTTTCACCTGTATGCTTTTCTAACAAGAGCATAGGTAGGGTCTGTTACCGGTACTTGGCTCTTTGATGAGCACCTCTAGCCTTCAATAACTACTACTTATTGATTTATAATAGGTCACGCAGAACCTGAAGGGCGGTGCCTAACCTACTCACCCGTTCTCTCTTGGCCATATCAGCAGCGCTCACACCCTCTGCAGCCTTCGTCCCAGCACGAATCACTGCCGAAAGAGGGAAAAAGGCCAAGACATCCGCAAGGGAATTTTCACTGAGCAACAGGAGGAATGTGATTTGCATGATGCAAGCTCTTCGCACAGGGCCCAGGGGACTACACTGGCCAGGATACAGAGGCATTTGGTTAGGGCCAGAAATGGGCTACAGGGCTAAGTTCTCAGCTCAGAGCTGCTCTCAAGGACTGACGCTCTGAACACTTTGTAATTTTGTTTCTCTTCTCCTTCCTTCCCCTCAAAGAAGCTTTATGCACATGTGCAAAGTCAGATGGAAAGACCTAGAGGAAGTTCTGAAAATCAGTACATTTTAGGCATTTGGATTACAAAAATGCTACACCTGGAATCTGGCTTTAGGATTTCGCTGCTCTTCGTGTACTTAGAGGCCATTACTAAGCAGTGTAATAGGCCAGCCCAGAAAATAGTCACATCACCATATAGAGAGAAGCCTGGTATCAAAGGCTAAAGGCCTAACATGACTAGTCCAGGCTGTACAGCTGTGCAGCAGGTGGGGTGACAAATACTGTAGAACCTAGAGGAAGAGATTTTTTTTTTTTAATTTAAGGCTAATTTCTGGTTATCTTTCTGGCATTAAAGGAAAGGTACTCAGTGCACATTTTATATCCATGAATAATCCAAAAGAGTAATTTTAGTCATAATTTTCACTCCTTCAGAAAACCTATTAGAAATGATGACAAGAAGCAAAGGTAATTTAAGTTTTTCTTCACTCTTTGCCCTGATAATCCACTGATGAAAAGGTCTAAAGGCAAGCAGGCAGTAAAGAACTGGTTAATCTACAAATTGGGTGAAGGTTTCCTAACAGAAAAACACATCTGCTAAAGTGGAATAATAGTAGAACACTGCTAAAGAGGACGTTTGGGTTTTTAATGTGAAATAGGCTCCCAAACATTACATCGCTAGGTCACCGTCATAGCACAGGGCCAGCTACTCAGAGGCCTGGTGCATGTGTCTCTTCCACTACTCACAGCCTTCTCGGGCCAGATAGAGGTTCCGGGTTCCAGTCGGCTTCTTCACCTTCTTTGTCCGGAGCTTTGCAGCCTCATCACGGGTCACTGCCAAGTCAACCTTGAGCTGCCGGCCATCCAATTTAAGCCCACCACCCTGTGACAGATTGCAATCATCTCTTAAAATACGTAACAAGTAAAAACTAAGCACCTTTCAAGGAACAACAAGGAATGGGAAAAAGCAGATCCCAATTAAGCTATGGAAGCCAGCCCCAAGATGTTTCAGCCTAGCTAAAAGTATTTAGTATAGCTGTGCAGAAGGCCATTTGTGTACTTAGGGCAGTCAGCACTAAATAATTTATTTTATGGGAGTTAATTAGGACCAAAGTAGGCCCAAAGTGAGGGAAATGATCTGTAAACAGGAAAATTTTTAGTATTCTCAAGAAAGCTAATGAAATGGTAGTGTTAACTCCACTCCAAAAAAATTTAACAATGTCAATACAACTATCTCAAAACAATTTACACTTGGTTATAGAATACACAGAAAAATTCTCCATCATCCACACATGTTCTCTCTCAAACATTTACTCCGCTTCATAGATGACTTTAATCTCTTCTTGACCCAGTCTTTCATGTCATCAGCCTACGATAGAGGCTCACATATAGATAGTGATCAATAAATATTAGATACATTATTATACCTGTTTCCTCACTTATTAAAAAAGATAATAATTGTACTTACCTTATATATCTCTATAGGGCTAATATATGGATTAAATAAGGTAATGCTTATAAAGCTCAGTGCCTATCATACACTAAGCGCTCAATAAATGTTAGTTTTGTTATTATGTTGACAATAATAATAACAACAATAGTAATTATAAAAAAGCTTTGCATAAACACCAGATGCTGCCCCTACTGTCGCTTAAGTTACAGAGTAAAAGAAATGTCTTTCTTACCTCGGTCTCTGGAGAAGCTGCTTCCAGGCATTTCTGAGCTGCTTCTTGAGTCATGAACTGAGCAAATGCACATCCTGCACAGAGAGACAAAATTAAGTGAGATCTTAAACTCCCAAGTTCCACCAACACACTAAGACAACACTACGAATGGTAACAGCCTGACATAAGGTGGAAGGGGTAGTAGTATCCTTCCGTTAAATGAGACAGGTATTGTGTCAGGCACTGAAGGTTCAAAGACAGATAAGATAGCACAACTATTCATACAATGAAATTTCCCTCATCTTTTTCAATGCTTCTTAGAACTTTAGTCTTACCATTTCTCTCCTTAATAATACTCACAAGAAATGCTAGAGAAATTCCAAACTAATATTTAATTCGGCAAAACTTATTGCATGCCTATTAGAGGATTTAAAAAAATGAGACAGCAACCAACTTATTGCATGCCTATTAGAGGATTTAAAAAAATGAGACAGCAACCTATAAGAATGAATGGCAGCAGACTAACTGAAAGGACACATGTGGCAGGCCAACTAGAGGGTCACCATCTCGTGAGGTCTTTCCTGCCTCTTCCAGGCAGAGCTGAGTGCCCCACCCTGCTGGTCCTCCACTCACATCTCTATTATAGCACTGGTCAGATGGAGTCTTCCCAAAAAGACTGAATACCTCAGGAATAAGGGCCACATTTCTTGGCTGTCCTTATATCCCTAGCACCTACCATAATGTCCAGTATTAATAGATAGTCAATATGAAAAAACAAAAAAGAAGTAATACAGGGGGAAAACATTTCTAATAGTTAGATTAGCCTATTTGTCCAAAATGAAGAAAATGGGTACTTCTCTCTAAATGGGGAACAATTTTATCATTGGAATTTGCAGGGTCAGTACTGGGTTCAGTCTTAACACTTCCATAAAAGTCTGCAGATAGTATTTAGCAATTCTAGGCAGTGAAATGGCATGTGATAGGGATCAACTGGAGGAGGAGGCCAAGGCTGTGTGAGTGAGTAGGCAGAAAAAGTGCCAGAAAAATTTAATATGAGCTAGGGTAAGACATGCATTAAGAAAAAATAATGAAAACTATGCTTATTAAGATCATTAAGTCTCAGCTAGAATTAAACAGACCAAGAAAGAGAATGAAGCAAGTCAACTGTAGGTTACATTCTGAAAATAACCCAATATAACATGCATTCAAAAAGGGACAAAAGACATCATCAAAGTAAAGCAATATTCTACCAAACTTGGAATAGTGTATGTAATTCTAGCTGCCTATTTTTAGAAAACCATACTGGAAATGGAAAAGGTCTAAGAACCATAATTGAATACTGGAGCTTAAGTCACCTTAAGTGATTACTCTAGTTGAACCCACTCATTTTACAGATAAGAAACTGAAGCCCACAGTCGTTAAACGATTTGCCAGAAATCAAGCGGCTGGTCCATGGCTTAGTTAGGATTAGCTCTCTAATCTCCAGGAAGCAGCGCCGTTTTCTTTCCATCATAGTCTCATGTACATCTTTTTTTCAGCTGAGTAAAACCCAAAAATGATCAGGTCTCATCAGTTTGGAAAATAAAAAGGTTTAGAATGGAGGTTATTAGTCCATGGATAGCCCACAAACTCTCAGAAGTGGTATTTTTCTGAGGAAAGGGTTCATAGCTTTCGGTAGATCTCAAAGGACTCACGAATCAGAATGAATTAAGAATTTACTGCTTTAGAACAACTGCAGTTGATGAAATCAAAGATTATGAATGGGTTGAAAAGATGCTTACCTAACAGCAGTATACTACAATGAGGAGTGGGTCAACCCTTGAAACTCAAAAGAAATAGCTTTAGGGAGAAAAAAAAAAATCTAAGGCGGCACTTCTGTTACAGTTTTCTGACTGTTGCCACTGCAACAAAGTTTCTGTCTGCTTCCATCTCTAAAAAACATAACTGAAAAAGATCCCAGTAATTTCAAGCAATGTAGAATGATTAATACCCATGAGATGCTGTCACATTTGAAATTCAAAGAACAAATAGAAATCACTACCCTAAAGTAAATAAGGGCTTAAAAAACTTAAGACAAAATTATGGCTGGCAGCACCATGATAGATGCTAAGTTTGACATCATGGAAAAACCTCCATGAACATCCTTGCACCTTGGTGCTTCTATGGATCACAGAAACCTGGGCTGATAGACTATGAACCCCTCAGAATGGCATGTATTATGCCCTCACGTAACCTAGTCAGTGCCTATGGCAGTGGTCTCAGTTCTTTTAGGGCCTGACCAGCTGACAGCAAATACCTTTAGAATGCTCTGTGTCTGGATGCAAGACAATGCGGACATATTTAAGATCTCCAAATTGCTGGAGGAGCTCCCCAAGGTCTTCTTCCTCTGAATCAAAAGACAGGTTTCTACGGAAAACAAGCAGTTCACAAGAAAGGTCAATTACAAAAGTGAGACTCTGTGTTCTTGTACAAGGTGAGTGAGTCAGACTCCAACTGGAGTGGTTCCCTTGCTCATGACCACTCTCCCTTGTTCAAAAATAGCACCGATACGCGTGGCCTCCAGTGGCCAAGCCTCTGATATATGACTCTGCTCCTTGGCCATAACTGACTGACCTTACAAGTCTCTCTTCCAGGAATTTAAAACTTGAACACATATACAAAGTCCAGAAGTTGTAGATGTAGATTCACTTCAAAACAGCAATGCCCCACCCAAGAGAAACTTCTGGGGAGATGAAAATGTTCCCTATCTTGATCTGGGTGGTGGTTACATGGATATATATGTACATCTATACATACACACATATATGTATTATTTATATATTTATGTATATATATGTGGTGGCATATATAAATGTGAAAATTTTCATTGAGATGTACACTTAGGTTAAACCACTTGACTGAATTTGTTATACCTTAAGAAGTTAAAAAAATGGTAGGGTATCCTCAGAGAAAACACCCACAGCCTCCTGCAGTTCTGGGGTCCTAGAACTGCCCACACTTTCACCTCCTTCTTGAGGTTTGCTCTTTGACAACTTTGATTTTGTGAGCCAGCCTAATGTTTATCCAACAAACCAGTTTTTTCACTTAAATTAGCTAAAATTAGTTTCTCTTACTACAAACAAAAGACAGCAAGCTGATGAGAAAAGTCAAATCAATCTACCTTTCTCTCCCTCTCCCTCCCCCTTCCTCCCTCACTCCCTCTCCATTAGCCATTTTCTCCTTTGTGTTTCCTCTTTGAAATCCAGGTTTCGGTTAAAATGTTACAAATGTCAGAAAATCTTTTAAAATAATAATTCAAAAACAAACATGGTAAAGTTTAGAGGCTAAGTACAAAAACAGAAACCTACTTATTTCTCTTGATGAGATTTAAAAATGTTGGAAAAAGATTTTGTTCTACTAAATTTCAACAGTGTAAAGATTCCTTATTTCTCCATTTGCAACAACATGGATGGACCTCGAGATAATCATGTTAAGCGAAATAAAGCGGACAGAAAAAGTTGAAAACCATATATCACTTATATGTGGAATATAAACCTAAAAGCAACAAACAAACAGGACAAACAGAGACACATGGACAATAGACTAGTGGTTACCAGGAGGTAGGGGGAAGGGGAGAAGAGGGAGGTAGATGGGGTAAAACGGGTCAAATATGTGGTGACAGAAAGAAATCTAACTATGGGAGGTGAACACACAATGCAATATGTATGTGCCTTACAGTTAAATTGTACACACCTGAAATATCTGCTTATTGCTTCTGCGATTAATTAATTAAAAGAATGAACATTTAGTGTCATAAATAAAAATAAAAATAACTTCACATAAAAAAAAAAAAAAAAAGATTCATTTCCCCAACTATGCACAGCCTTCTGGAGGAAAGATAAACAGTCCCAAATAAGTATCTATAATTATACTTCTCTTATACTCAGTTAACGACCCCATAAATGATTCTATCTTACGGAGTAACTGAGATTAAAAAAAAAAATTTCTGTAATAAGACACATCTTAGTTACATTATTTCTTCTCATTTGCCTCATCATGTACATAGTTTTGTTTCTTCTATCTCTTTACCTTCCTAAGTTCTTTATTAATTTAAAAGACGTATAAGGAATCGCATCCTTGATATTGTTACGGGCTTCTAAGTGTGACATTTCTTCCTTCCTATTAGAATTCTCTATGAATACAAAATTATTTATATGGCAATTCCATATAACGCAGTAAAAAAAAATTATAGAGGGACATGCTGTAAAGGAAGAAAGTGGGTTACAGCACAGCGTGTATATGCTAAACTGATCTTGGTAAATATTTATGATGTGGGTATATGTATGGTATGTATAGGTATTCTCTGAGTAGTGATAAAGGTTAATTTTTTTTGTGTATGTTTTTGAACATTTATTTCCTACAGTAAACATAAATTACTTGTATAATAAAAAAAATCTTAAGAAGATTGTACATGAGGATAAAATACACATTTTAAAGACTCAAATGGCCCTACACATTGCTACTTAAGAAAAGACAAGAAGACATGTTTGAGGGGTGCTGAGATATCTTGACCTTCTGAAAATGCCAATCTACTGCAGTTAGTAAAACAAAAATAGCAACGGCAACATGAAATAAAATCTATTTCCACCCATCTCCCTCTCTCGGTTTTCCTAGAAACAAACAGGATGTCTCACTTTATTCTAGACACTGCTTTAGACAATAAGTTAGACATGAAGAGAGAAACTGTTTGGGACAAGAGGTGTCACCCCTCCTCAGCACTCTCCTTAAAACAAAAGCCAGAAAGGAAAATGTTTCTAATAGTTAAAGATCTGATTTGTTCCAAATGATGCCACCCCAATTATAAAGAATGAAATCTAAATGATAACAAGATATGGAAACCCTGTTATTTATCCTCTGTGTATAGTTCTGATTCATCTACATTTTTCATTGTTTGGTATGTTCCTAGGGCCGAAAAAGGGAAGAGAAACCAATGAAGACAACACAAATAGAGCAGTTCTCAAGGTAAAAAGGCATACCTGATAAAAACAGTTTTCCCTTCATTCACATCAGAGGGTAATTTCCTCTTCTTTTTCTTTGAGATTTGTTCATCTAAAGTAAAAAGAAAAACAACAAACTGAAAAATTCTAGTACAAGCCACATAACAAAGGGTTAACTCTTAAATATATCAAGACTTTGCACAAATCAATAAGATAAAATCCAATTAAAAATGAACAAAAGATATGCAAATAAATATAAAAAGATGCTCAAACTCACTCATAATTAAAGAAAAACACAGTATAAGAAATGAGATACTATTTTTCACCAACAAAATGGGAAAAAACAAAGATAAATGAAATTTAATGTGGTAAGGGTATAGGAAAACAGAGATTCCCATATACCATTTTGACAGTGTACTTTTTGAAAACAAAACATGTAAAACATTTGAGAAGAAAGAAATACACATACATTCACACACACAAAAATACACTACATTGTGAGTGTTTTTACTTATAGAGGTATTAACTATCTTTAGATACACCAGAGACATACAACACTAGTTGTTTCTGGGGAGGGGCGCTAAGTGGCTGATGATCGGGGTATAAGGAAGACTCACTGTTTTTAATAGACATGTGCTTATATGTACACAGAAGCTTTCTGGAAGGATACAAAAGGAACAACAGTGGTTACTCTGGGGTATCATTGGGGGATTGGTGAGGAATTTTCACTTTCTATATTATACTCTTCTGTACTATATTTCTTATTAATGTTCTCTCATTATTATGTACTAGTCCTGTGATTTTTTCAAGAAAAAATTAGTAAGAAACAGCTCAATCTGGCTATAGAATGCAAGGTCTTAAAGTCCCTTCAGTATAAAAGCTTTTGATTCTAAGGTGCCTACCATTCTCTCATGGAAAAAGTTTACTTCCTCAGATTTCTTATACGGTGAAACCAACATGACAGACTTACAGAAAAGGAAGCAGAAGGGAGTGCCCTGATAAGTACATAAAAACTTCCACCTTGACAAACTAAAGGACCAGTTACTGGCCATTCCTCATTCTGTAATGACCTGCCTCCCTCAATGAAAGCACTGAGTTTACCCCAACATTCTTGATAAGCAACAGGGTTTGATTAGTTTTACAAAATGCCCCCAAGAACTCCTTTATCCCTATCTCAACTCAAAAGATTGTTTAAAATCCACCTTGGTGTTAGATTTAATAATATCCTGTTTATCCAGTTAGTCATTCAAGTTGGATAATCAAGAGACAGCGCTTCAGCATTAAGATAGGGTTTAAATCTCCTATGAATCTTAACCCTCAAACAGCACTCCAAACTCATTTAAAAAACAAAACCAAAAAACCTTTAGAAAAAATATAAAGTTTTCGTCTTCAACATTTAAAACATAAATTTGACAGAACACATTAGGGTTCTATTTAAAGAGGTCTGCGTTGAACTGATATAATTTCTCAGTAATTAATTGAAATTTGAAGATCCCAGGCCAACCTTCGTCCTCTTGCCCTTCAGTGTCAGTATCACTCTGAGCCAGTTCCTCTCCACTGTCAACACTATCTCTTCCCTCGGTGTCGCTGTCCTCATCGGAAAGATCCTCTTCACTGCTTTCAGCAGGTGCTGCCCTCTTGATTGCTCTGCAATGGCACAGTTCAGAACTAAGGACCTCCAACTTCATTATGCATGTCAGTCATCAATGACGGGGGCGGGAGAGTCAACATTCTCCCCCTCAGAGACAAGCCTGAATCTTCTTCTGTTGTCTCAGAACAACCTGAACTGCTTACCTCTTCTGAATGTGCACAGGCCTGGTCACCTTTGATTCTTTATTCTCCTCCTCCTCTTCATCACCATCATCACCATCCTCCTCTTCCTCCTCCTCCAGATCATCATCACCGTCGTCTTCCTCTCCCATATTCTCTTCTTTCCTGCCATTCTCTTTACCTAATTTCTGATGTTTAGGTTCAGGCCTCTTCTCCACACCTATACAGGGAGGTAAAGAAAGTTAGGAATTAATCCAGTACCTAAAACAAGGTTATTTTAACAAAAATAACTAATACCCTCAAGTTCCTAGTTCATTTGGTTTTACAGAATCTCACATATTTTCTTACTATATATATATAATAGGAGAAAGTATAAGGAATAAAAATAAACAAACAAAAAAACAAACAATAACAAAAGCCCCTTATCCCTGAGATTCCCTTGGAGTCTTTCCCATTCATCAGAAGCCTGAAAATGAATCTGGCTCAGAATGAGCCTCTACAAGTAGCCTACCATCATGCAGCACAATGCTCAGTCTGGAGCCCAGCCAGGAACTTAATCTTGGTGAGTTCTGTTCTCTGGGCTCCTGGCTGCCTAAAAACCAATTGTTTTCTAAATAAAACTCAACTTTTATGTTTCCCTATTCTTGATGTTCCATCATTCTTCATTATAAAAAGCTGGGGAAGGACATCAGGTAGAGGGAGCAATGAACTCAGTCCCACTCCTCAATCACATCCACACCCGAGCATGGGCCTAGACTCAAAAAATCCTGTGCTTTGGGACCAGATCACCAGATGGTACAGTATGAAATGACAAACAGCTCTGGGTTTCTCAGCCAGCGGGAATTCAGAGTTTTTCTTACTCATTCTTGTTCTTTTGGGTACTCTTGTGCTTTTGGTATCTCCAGCCCAATATTCTCACTGAGAAGCAGGTTCCCTCATACTTTTATTGTAGAACTGTTTCTGCACTCACCCCAGGACATACAACCCCTCCTACCCTGCACCACCACATCTTACCTGGGGCAGAAGCAGAGGGTGTATTTTTATATTTGTCCTTTGCCACAGCCCAATCCACAGCCACTGTCCGCCCTGTCAGACAGAAAAGCAACATCAGAAAGGCCTTCTTCCTTTAGACTTTTCTATCTCTTGTAAATGACTTTTTATTCATCGAAGACAGTAAGGAACAAAAGGAGACAAACTGCCAATTCAGAGAATACTGATTATAAAATAAATCTCCCAGTAGCCGTCTATTCTTTTTAACCCTTAAACTTTTCTTTTTATCAATTAACAAAAATTTTGCCTTTCTACACAGCCACTACACCTGGGATAGTTTTAAAAAACAATTAAAACAGTGCTTCTAATTAGACCAAAAGTTTCCAGTCGACTAGCAAGAGGCAAAACAGGCATTCTGGAAAAATTTGCACCAAACTCAGAAGTTAGGAAGTCTCTAAGTCAATCCCTTCTTCAGTACCTGGTAAATCCATACCCGGAGTAGCCTCATTGTCAGCTTAATAGCCCATGGATGCTGAATAGCGCTCATAACCAAGAGGGAAAAAAACTGCAAATCCCACATCTCCTAAACGGCAACCGTGTTTATTACAGGGACGTTATTTCATTAGGGATTTAAAAGAACACTCATTACCAAATAAATAGGAGAATAATGACATAGGTTCTTTCAAGTTTAACCTAAGAACAAGTATTAGAAATGTTTCAACAAAACAGCTTCTATATTAGCACTGAGACCTTCAATAATACAAACACCTTTTGAAAACGTAGAATGTGGGTTACTGTGCTAATTTACTCAAACACCAGAAATATCTGGGTCAATAGTATGGGTATAGAAAACTTACCCTTTATCTCTTTCATGTTCATGCTTTTGAGAGCTTTTCCTGCTTCTAGGAGGTTTTTGAATTGAACAAAAGCAAAACCACGCATCTTTCCATCTGTGTGCAAATGTACAAAGACATTAGAAGCAGCAGGTGGGAGCCAACACTAAGAAGGAAATTATAGCAACCAAGGCAGGCGAGATGGCCCAAATGCTGCCAACCAGCCAGCCTCTCACCCAAAGCTTATGTCCTGCTGAGTATACCCTGATTTGGGATTGGGAAGAGCAATGCATTTTCTCAAACTGTAGCTTGTCTTCTAAAACTAGTTTTGATCTAATTAAAAATACCATCAGGGGAATAAACACTATTACATGACTTTTTATTACTTCCTAAGCACTATGCCTGATACTTTATATATATCACATCATGGAGCACATAAAGAGTATGACATAAACCTTGTATTCCTATTTCTAATGGTGCTTAGTTCAAGGGTGATATGGAAGAAGACCATTCTGTTAAATAATATTAATCTAATCCACACTAAATGAAGGTTTGCTAGTACCTGGCTTCTTAGGGATGTTTACTTCAAGGACCGCTCCGTACTGAGCAAATACTGTCTTCAAGTCATCTTCTGAACACTGAAGTCAAAAGTAAAGAAAGAAATAGAGGTATTATCATAATAAATAACTATGAAACATCAATTATTAAATTGGTTCATTAGGAAGAGCTTAAACATTTTTACTACTTTTTTACTTTTGAGACTAGGACAACAAACATATCTGAATAGAAGACATCTTGCCTTGTATCTAAGAGGCAAGAGGACAGAGATTAGGGCTTTTCCTCCCCTCCCTTTCTCAAAAAGGCATCTTCCCTCATTGTCTTAATAAGTTCCTGTTTATACAGGCTCATTTTCTGAATTCAGCAATGCTAAGGCTCATTCCCAGAGGCATCATGTCCAATCTACCATCCTGGTGAGTTCTACCCATGATCACCAACAGCTTTCAGAATCGGCAGTGTTCAGTTTTCTCTGTCACTTACCTTAAAGCTCAGATTCCGAATAATTAATCTGGCTTTCTTATCTGCCACTTTGGCTTTTTTAGGCTTCTGCTCCTTCTTTGGGGACTCTAAATTTTCTAAAAAACAAGAGGCGATGGAATAAGTCTCTGCTTCAAAATCATCCACCTCCAGGCCCAGAACACAACAGGAAAAAAGCTACCACAGGAGTCAGTGTGGCAACACCCAGGACCACCAGATTTTCCAGACTTAGAAGTAAAGGCTAAAATGAGTAACAAAATACATTGGACGGTTTTAGATTTCAAAAGGAAATTCAAGAAGCTTTAAATTTAGGTGGTACCCCCATCTCCACCCCCACCCCACCACTCCACCTCCTCACCCTGGGAGAAAACTCACCCTTTTCCTTGGATGTCTTCCTCAGTTTTTTTTTGGCAACGGTCACGTTGATTTTGCAGCCTTCAAAGGTGGTAATCTCCTTGAGGGCCCTTTGAACATCTTCCAGCATAGAAAAAGTGACATAACCAAAGCCTCGACATGCCTTACTCCCTAAACAATAAGAGGGTGGAGAGATAACCATAAGCCAAGAGCCCTAAGCCAGTAAATTCTCAGAGCCCTAAACTAAGCTCTGAGATATAGTGCCAGGTCATCCTATAATCAATTTGCCAAAATCCTCAGGAGGGAGAGAAACAAGGTTGGCATCAGTGGCCCCTTCTCCACTTTGCTCAGATAGTGTTAGCTTCCTCTTCTAATTTGGTGTCTTCACTGTTGGCTCCTCTTCTTCCTCCTTTCCTGATAATCTCAAAATTATAGAGGATCCATGATATCCACTACTCCCCAAAGAAGAACTCAGCATCAAATAGAAGGGAGCATCACCAGAGATGGTAGGAAAGTATAGTAGCTTTGAAAATTACATGTAATAATGCAGCTCCTCCTCACAAGAGATCAGCAATGGTGCCTGGGGTCCAAAAGAACCTCGAATAATAAACAATGCTTCAGGAGCCTGTAGATACTATTACCATTATTACCAAGCCTTAGCGATCAATAACAAATTAAACCTTTCCAATGCAGCTGTGAATCTCCTATCTCACTTTATCTTCAGAACACACCAAGGTAAGTAAAGCAAATATTATCATCCCTTCTCTCCAAATGAATAATTTGGGATGAAGGAAAGCAAATAAACTTAGTTAATGTTCCCCAAGGTGTTAGTAGCTGAATTAATTTCTCATTACCAGCCCCATCCTCTTTCCAATGGGATTCCACCACTATGATGCCCACAGAGAAGACTATTAGGACCAAGCAGATGAACAGTTGTAAAATAAAAAACTGTAAACTTCCTTTGCTCTTCCTGGTATGCTTCTTTTTGGTTTAACATTTCTGTGTAGTAAAATTTTAAGTAATTTTCTGCATCAAAATGGAAGAAGACCAAGTAGTCTGCCTACTACCCAAAGAAGAAATAGCTCACATGCTCTGCTTCTTTTTCATCTACACTTGAACCCGCTTCAGGGTCCAAGCCCTCAAACACAGGACACTGATCCACCTAAACAGGTTAAAGTTGACACCTGGCACTAGGAGAGCATACTGTGATCTGGAGATCAGTTTCTTTTCTCTTGGAACTCTTTCTCACAAAAGCCTGTCCACTTACCTTTCAGAAAATAAGACCAAGAAAATTCAGGCCCTTCCTGATCAGTACAACCAAAAATAAAGCAGCTAAAACATGAAGGAGTTTGGCATTGAAATAAAAGCATATACCCACAATAAATGCCATGCATTTTTTATGTCTGCACAAAGCACTGACATATTTACTTGAATCTTCACAACAATCCTGTGAAATTATTCCCATCTTAAAGGTTAAGTGGCATGCCCAAGTCACCCACACTGAGTAAGACTTCATCCCCCAACCCCTCCCTCCCATCCCACTAGGTGCAGTACTCTTTCCAATACATCTAGGCTGTCTGGATAGAAAAGCATAGTTTCTTAATAAGGGAATAAGTTTTCTTTAAAGATTTAGACCACGTATACAAGGTAGAAGGTAAGGTTATACATAGCTTACATTCTGAGGACCCAAAGATGAATTCCCATTCAATGGCCTGTTTATTCCCTGAAACACAACCATCTGGCACTGTAATGTTTCTCAAATTGTTTTTGACAACACACAGTAATAAACGTAACTCACAGTAGAACCCAGTCCATATATATATTTTTTATATAAAGCCAAAAAAAGTTTTATGAATACTTATGCTTTACCATATATGGATATACTCCTATTTCACTTAAAAATTCTAGTCAAGACCCACTAATGGGTAATGATCCGCAGTTTAGCACTCTCATTCTCTCATTCAGCCCTATCTATACTTAAAATGACAAAGAACCAGGGAGGTACTATGGCTCAAATAGCAACCAGAGCCATGTTGACAATCCTAACTCTAACTTGTTACTAAGAAAATATAAACTAAGGATGGAGTGACTGTTAGCACACCGATAGCCTGCCTACTCACACACTCAGACACCATGAGGAGGGAGGAAGGGGGACCCACAAGATGCCGCTTCTCACCAGTTGTTCTGCTGAAAGGTAAAGAGGCAGCCGCCTAGAGAGACAGCCTGATGACTTAGAAGGGAACAAAATGTATGTTCTAGGTAACATCAGGTGCCTATCTCAAGTGTCCCTTGAAGCTAGGTAAGAGGAAGGAACGCTTCTACAATTAAAACCCTTACAATCCATCCTCATTATAATATATGCCAACCCTCCCTCACAGTGATGTGATGAGATCAAACAGAATGTGAAGCATACAGCAGTATTCCACAAGTCGGTAAATAGTGCCAGTAGCTCAAACCAAAAAACCCTTGGAGTCAGACTTGACTCTTTGACTCCTCTTTTTCTCATACCCCACATCTGATCCATCGGTCAATCCTCTCAGGCTTACCTTTAAAAAATATTCGCATTCCAATCACTTTTTACCACCTCCACTGCTACCATCCTGCTCTGACATCATGATCTCTCAGCAGAATTATTCCAAGAGCATACTAACTGGTCTCCCTGTTTCTGTCCTATTCTCTAATAGCCTATTCTCAACACAGCAGCCTGCGAGAATCTTTCAAAATGTAAGCCGGATCATACTTACTGCTCCCTGCAAAAAACCCATAGTTTCCCATCTCAGAATAGAAGTCAAAGTCCTTTGCAATCGCCTATAAGGTCCTACATAATCTGGTACCCTACATCTCATCTCCCAATCCTCTTCCTTTCATTCACTGCACTTCAGTCACCCTGGTCTCCTTGCTATTCCTCCAATATACTAAGCACAGTGCTCTTCAGTAACCTTGAGCTTGAAGTTTCCTCTGCCTAGAGAGACACAGGTTCGCTCTCTCGCTTCCATCAGGCCTTCTCTGGCTACTCTATCTGCAACTGACACCTCTACACCCCTCCTCCTCCCCAACACACACACACACACACACACACACACACACACACACACACACACAGAGACTCCCTATCCTTCTCTGACTTATTTGTCCCCTTTGCATTTACCACCATCATCACTATATATTTTGCTTGTTCGCCTGTCTTCCCCATCTTGAAGACATAAATGACTGCAAGGTTTTTGATTTGATTATATGCACTGCTGTACCCCCAGGACCTACAACAGTGCCTGGCACTCAATAAATATTTATCGAATAAATAACTGAGTAAATGAATAACACGGTGGTTAAGAGCTCTGAGTCTGGTGATCAAATTCTGGGTACACTACTTACTAGCTGTACAAACCTATGCGACAGTTATGGAATTTCCCTAAGCCGCCGATTCCTCATCTGCGAAATGGGGTTAAGATTCTCCATCCAAAAAGATTACTGAGAAAATTAAATGAGATTACACGTGTGGAACTCAGCACCGTACCTGGCAATCAGGTGATTCTCAATACGCTTTATTTATGTTTTATTAAGAGTTAGCGATTTTCACTGTTACCAAATAAGACCTTGACTATAAGTGTGCATAATAAACAGAAAGTGCTATATAAACTTAAGGGGCTGCTTTGACTTTCAGAAACGGACCCCTATGGACTTATCTAGAGCAGAATCAGTTTGGAAGAAACTCAATTCCCAGACCTTTCTCTTAGGGGCGGTAAAGAATTACGGCTCGCTGAAGTTTGGAAGGGTGTCCTCGGCCCCGTCCCTCACCCAGGAACCCCGGCCCTATCCTCGACCGTCCCGCCCCCTACCTTTCTCGGTCACCACGAAGCACTGCTTCACCGGTCCCACCTGACTGAACAACTCCTCCAGCTGCTCACTGCGGGCCGAAGGAGGGAGGCGGCCCACAAACAGGGTCAACCCAGCCATGAGGCCAGGAAACGGAGGCGCAAGGCTGCGAGCAAAGCAGGCCGAGCACGCGAGTCAAGCAGCTGGCTTTAGCAAGCCGAGCACGCCAAGTTGCCGGGAGGTTCCGGAAGTGCTCTTTACTCAAAAGAGTCCGAAGGAAAACGTGGTGGGATGGGGAAAAAACGTTCCGGAACGAAAAAAATGGTGACTCCGGGGGGCGGAGTTTCTTGAATGGTGCTCCACCCCTAGTCCAAGTACCGCCCCACCAACCCACCCTCTTTCCTGCCACCTTAGGGAACTGGCTTCCTTAGTTACTATTCTCCGTAAAATCTCAGCTTCAGGAGATCGATCCCAAATTTACCAGGGCAAGCAGAAGTAGTTTTTGCTCTAATCCCGGATCTGACCTATAATGGATGTTTAATAAATAATTTCTGAAGTGCCAGCACAGACTCCCAGATTACGGTATAAAATGCAGCCAGAATATACATAGACACAAGTACATTATACACATCATTCAAACAATTCTTGTGTTATGAGAGAATATGAGACATCTGTCACACTGTAACATAACTATAACTGTGCTTATGATGGTTCACGGACAAATTATAGCTACTAAAGTACACGTAGAAACAGTTTGCACACAATCATTCCTTTAATATTTACTGAGCTTCTACTACATATCAAGCACTGGGGATAAAACTGGTAAGCTAAAAAGAGACACGGTCCCTGCCCTCATGGAAAATACAATCAGTGGAGGTAGACAGACATGAATCAAAAAAAATTTTTTTTACAAATGAATCCCATGAGAACACATCCAAAGCAAATATAATATCCAGTTTATACACACGACCTAGAACCCAGGTCCTCCCTGACACAAGAGACTATCTTCCCTCAGGTAGGCTTATCAGACAGATCCAAGATTGAGGGATCTCACTGGCCAGGAGGAGGTCTGAGTGCTCCTGGATCCTGAAACAGAGTATTTGCTATCCCACTGGGCTCAGGAACTGACTTGTGCGCAAGACTGCAGCACCCTGCAGAATATCTAGCTAAAAACGTACCCAACGTATTTTTTGGTTACTTTTAAATGGTATAAACTGAATACGTGGTAGGTAAAAATTCAAAAAGTACAAACAGTAGCGTGAAAAGTAGGTTTCTCCTTCACCTCACACCCCATTTACTTTCAACACATTCTGGATGGATGGATGGATGGATGGATGGATGGATGGATGGATGGATGGATAGTCGGTTGGTTGATAGTAATAAGGGGGAAAGGGAGAACACTTAACATCAAATTTATGAAGACCTAGCTCCAAGTAAGTTATACACACTTCAAAGAAAATGTCACAGTTATTTTGAAATACATAACTTGGGAGAGAAAATATTGAAATACAAAACATATTTTTAAGGCTATGGGATTAATTCTATCCAGGATAAAGAAAGACAAATAGACAAAGAAAATAGGATGGGTCATTAAAATAAAGTTGGTTTGGGATTCCGCATTCCTTCCTTTTTCCCTCCTTCTCTCCTGTCCCCTCACCACCTTAGCAATCAAAATTCCATCTCCAAAGACTAAATTGCAAGCTTCAGGGCCCCAGTCCTGCAGTGTGCACAGGTAAAAGAACACTAAGAAGGCTGTTCCAACATTCCTTTGGGACGCCCCCACAATGCTAGGCTTTTAATACTTAGGACCCCAACCGCCCTTAAAGAACAAAATGAAAATATGTCCCTGTGCCCATCAGGGGGCAGCAGTCACCCACAGTGTGGAGGAGTTCTGTGCTCTAGGAGAGGCTAACAATGCAGGTGACGTGACCCTTTCTACACTTCCCAAGTTTCAGACCTGGCTTCCCATCTCAGTCTCCCAGCCTCAGCCTCAGCCCCATGCTCTCCTATTCATTCATGTCAGAGAGGCCACGTGGTCCTTCGATCAGTAATATTTGCTCATCCATCTACCTAGGACACATGCAGTGTTCTTTATTAAATAGCAGGAGTCGTGGTACCCTGCGCCGCACCAGCAACCTGGCTTCCAGTGGCAATAAACTACTGGCCTTTCTCTCATCCATCACTATGCAGGAACCAGGAAAAGAAATGGGAGGCCTGGGCTGTGTTCAGCCACCCTCCCTCAAGCCCCATCCCTCTGGCTTCACTCCTCCTTGTAAGCCAAACCTTCTTAAAATACTGTGTACTTTTTGTTCTTAGCACTTCTCACAACTGTTACTTGTTCTATTGTAATGATTTATATGATTAACTCTTTAATGTCTGCCTTCTCCAAAAGACCTTCAACTTCATAAGTTCAGGGCTAGTGTCCACCTTGTTCAACTCTATCCCCAGCACCTAGCAGCACATTATAAGTATTCAATAAAATGTTTTAAAGAGGCCGAATGAATAAAGGTGAGTTTGTCTCTCAGTCCCCTACCTTACTAAGAAATGGAACTAAAGGGTGTATTCGTTAGGATTACCTGGACTTTTGTAGAAAACCTGCTTAGAGTAAGGGCTGAGGCATGAGATAAAAGAGAAAGGTCGTCTCATCAAAGTCTCAGCTTCTTTATAAAGTTAAAGGTAATTCTTGCTGAGGAAAATCGAAAGAGTCTTATCGATTAATCTTATTCTTCCAATTGTAGTCAGTTTTATAAAATCATAGGCCTCTTTAATGGGGCTCTATACGGAGAAAGAGAGGATCCATGCTTCCTGAAGTCTGTGTGTGTGTGTGTGTGTGTGTGTGTGTGTGTGTGTGTGTGTGTGCGCGCGAGAGAGAGAGAGAGAGAGAGGGGGAGGGAGAGAGTCTGACTGACTAGAGTATATGAGGCTTAGACTGCTCTGTGGAGAGATGTGTGCATAAACCCAAGGACCCTTGATGGAGAAAGTGGATGGAGCAAGAGCAGCTGGCAAGGATTAGGGTGAGGAAGAGACAGCAGAGAGGAGCTGAATGTGAGCAGAGGCAGACAGAAGGGTGAGTGGGGAAGAAAGAGTAATTTCTTCAAACAGCAAGCACTCCTTCCATGACTCAAAGCAGCTTCGATGCTGGGCCGTGCCGCCACAATGACACCAGTTGAGAAATGCCTGTAATTAGGAGCCTGGCAGTTCTTTGGGCTTCATCCCAGAGTGACGATGGAGCAAGAATTTCTGAGCCACGCTGAACCAGGTGATGGAGGAGACAGAGTCAGAACCACTCCAGTCCCATCCCTCAGCTGTGCTTGCCCCCATGCTCCTCTCATTTTCTTGAGACCCTCACTACCCCCCAAAACATCACTGATTCCTTTCCTCCTTCTGAGGTCCCAGGCCCTGGACACTTCTCTCAGACAAGACAGATCTTCATGTGCAAGGACAGCTGTGCTTTAATTCTCCCACTAGTTCACTGGACCTGGTCTGGTGAGTGCCCCCCGCCCCCCACCTCCAGCCTCCCTGCCTGCTTCTCTCTTGGCTCCCTCTCTTCCCTTCTCAAATCCCCACCAGCTGATGGGCAGAATTGAAAGAAAAACCACTCTTATTCCTGTTTTTCCACTTCAAGCCTAGTATGTGTGCCCCTGTGGGTCTCCCGGTAATGTGCAGAACATCTGCCAAAACACTGCCAGTTTTCCTTTTCAAACTTAATCTATTACCCTGTTTTAGTGCCATCTGAACTTACTGCATTTTAGCCAAATGACAAATGCAGACTACAGAGCTCAGAGCTCAATGCTCTGGACAAGGGAGGGATTACAGAGTGCTGGTGGTTGGATGCATTCATGGGTCTCTGTACTGGGAGTTCTGCTCTGGTAGGTAGGATTCAGATGGGGTTTGGGGAAGACAGGCTTTCTCCAGGGAAAATCTGTACCTATGGGAGATGAGTTTTCTGCAGGAGAAGAGAGGTTATGAGTCCAACCTTGAAGAGGCCCTGTTGGTAGGTGGAACAGGTGGGAACTCCTCCGGGAATGTGGCAGGGAGATTGCTGGGGCACGCAGATCAAGGTGATCAAGCTCTTGATACGTATATCGACATCTCCACAAAGAACTTTACCACTAGCTAGCCCCCTAGTTCAGCACCCACCAGGACCTGAAGCCAGGCTCCTAGAAATGCAGACATTTCCACCAATGACTGTAGAGTTTCTGCTTCACCTCTCAAGGCCATGTTACATCTCTAAAAAGCCACTTCCCAGAGTCAGAAGGATCTTCAAGGAGCCTCTCCCAAGATCTTCACTCATCCCAGCCACAGGACAAACACTCCTCGTAGTGGAGAGTAAAGGTCCCTGAGGTCTGAGATGGACCCGCCCCACCCAAATGCTGCTTCTCTTCCAGGTCTGGCAGCACCACTGCTGCTCTTGCTTCATCGAAGCTTTTCCAAGAAGATCAGACCTTTCTCCTCTGAAAATATTTTATTGATAAATTAACTCTGATAGGACTCACCTCCCACTTATCTGCTGTGGAGTCTCCCAGATGGGCCATGGACTCTTCTACAGGGAAGGGTCATGGGGAGGACAGGGAGTCTCACTCAGGCAGGGACGGGATTCCCGGACATGGCAGAGGTGGATATGGGGACTGAGGCTGGTCAGGAGGTCTTCTGAGGACAGCCCCTCCCACTCAGCACCAGCGTGGAGAGTGGTGGACAGGGGTGAAGCACCTTGGAGCTTTATTGCTGGTGAATGCCAAGGAAAGTGAGACCTCTGCCAGCCTAGAATTGCAGCTGAGGGCATCAGCGCCCAGGGATCCAGAGAAAGTGGCACTAATTCCCAATCAACAGAGCCTGGCTGCTTACCCACCCACCCAGGCCCTGGGTGGGGAAGGAAGCCGAGAGGTATCTGAGCCAGGCAGGGTTGGGGAAGGGTTACAGTGTGCAGGTCTTGGGCAGAGCAGGCGCCAGAAGGGGGCAGGGATGGCCGGGCACCGAAGAGGCCACCTCTTCACAGGTCTATGGTGTCGCTGCCCACACTCAGCTCATCGATCTGTCGGCAGGCATCCAGGAATTGCTCCTGCAGCAAGGCTTCTTCAGCCTGCAGCTCAGGAGCAGGCTCTGGAGAGTCGTGGGAGGATGGGGACAGGGCCTGGTAGGATCTTGAGGCCGGGAGGCTAGGGCTGCTTCCTGAGGGCCGCGGGGGGCTGAGGACGCAGACCAGCGGACAGCGCGGGGGCCTGTCGGGGCTGGAGCATAGCAGCATGGACGAGCTGTCCCG